AATTTTAACGCTTTCCTGCAGTGATTTTCTTGGCTATTGCTGCAAGGGGAATTGCTTTCTGGACTGGTCATCCCCTGTGCCGTGTGTTTTGGGGTGATGGAGGGGGGGTTAATGCTCGACCCTGGCCCTGATGCTGCTCCCTGTGGTAGTGCTGGTTGGTTGGGGTCATCAGTCTTCAACCAAGTTGTGAAGGCTGGCTGCAAACATCTGCAGGTCACCCCCCAGGGAACAGATGCTGTGGATAATCCAGCTCAACCCCATCAGATTAAAACGTGCGATGAGAGATGGGGGAGAGGAGGCTGTAGAGGAAAGAAGTCATTGGTGCCTATTCCCCTCCTCCCTTTTCCATCTCACGGCTCCTACTGCACTCATCCTCGGGCTTCAGGGTTTGGTCCCATGGGTCCAGCCTGGACCTTGCCCCATCCTTGCCTCTCCTCCCCCAAATACAGTTATAGCACTGAAGCCGGTGCTCCAGCCCGTCCCGTAGCACATCGCGCCACAGCACCCGATGGCATGCCCCGGGTAGTGTGAGACTGTGGGATGCTGACAGCCTGGGACTTCCAAAAAAAACCCCACAAGGGAGCTGGGAAGCAGGCACCCACCTCCAGTGGGAAGGAGGGAAGCCAGCAGATGGGAACCCCCCGTAGATGTCTGCCAGGGATATGATGATTGCAGTCGGTGTAGCGCACGCTCAATATTTATTAGTTTGTCGCTGCTGGGAGTTTTATTGCTTGTCTGATTGCGGTACTGGAAATCCTGGCTGTGCAGGGCTTCTTCCCTGGCTTCCCATGCAAAATTGTGTCTCTTGCATGTGCTGCTCCTGCCATCACCAAGTCAAACTGTCACCTCAGGTGGGATCAGAGCAGCATTAGGCAAAGCACAAGTGTCCTGCATGCACGTGTGGGTCACAGCATCCATCCCCAGGAGTGATGCTTATGGCCAGCTCCTTGCAAGCACCAGTGTGAGTCCTCCCACTGACAAGATCATCACTGGTATCAAAACCATCTCAACATCCCAGTGGATATGTGCAACCTGAGGTTGGCTGCCCAGCCTGGAGAAGCCAGAGGAACCTCAAGACCCTCAAAGTGGGAGGTTGTCTTAGCAGAGATACTCTCTCCCATTCTTAGAAGGCCATTTGTCAATGTCCTTACTATACTGGAGCAGACCAAATCCTTTCCTCAGCCCCTCCATCCTCTGCTCTTTTAATCCTGGCACTGACAGCCCCTTGTTCTGGCTGTGCTGGATCCATATGCCCCCCTGTCCTATGGGGGAAGGACCCCATCATGTTGCACCACCAGGAAGGTGCTTTTATTTAGTTGCTGCTGGAAAGTCAGGGCAACCAGGAGCAGCACTCGTTCATCCTCATAGCACGAGTGGGCATGCTTTCCCCCACCAACTGCATGTGGCTTTTTGGCGGGATCCCCCATGAGCATTAGCAGAGTAAGAGGTTTCCCATGGGTGGGTGGCCAGGCATCTGGAGCAGGGATGAAAGGCCGGGCTGATGGCTTATGATAAATGTGCCCAGCATGGTTCTCCTCCCTTTTCTCATCCAAATTCCATGTTGTTCCTCTGCCTTAATTTTTCCCCCAACGTGTTTAAACACCAGTGGCCGTATCGTGCTGGAGCTAAATGCCCTGTCCAGCTGCAAATGCTTTTCTTCGCCTGTGTAGGGCTGGTTTCTGGGCTGGTTTCTGGATGGAGAAGTTAGCCTTCCTCTTGCTCTGCTCCTGTCCATGCATAAGCCTGGAGCCTGAGGGAGAGGTGGGGTTGGGGCTCTGTGGCACAGCCTCGGTTATAAGTCTGCCATGAAAAACCCATCATCTTTTTCCCTGTCTCCTGGTAGAGCTGCTTTTTTGGCCCCAGATCACTCTTGGACAGAAATAAAAGATCTCTCAGCTGTTGCGAGTTTGCAGGATTTAAACTTTCCCAGCAGCCAGGATGCTCCTAGCTTTAAAGGTTCAGGTTTTTTTGGTTCAAACCTTAAACTCAGCAGGTTTTTATAGCCATCAAAAGCAGATGCTGGAGCTGGCTGGTAGGGTTGGGAAGATCATCCTATTCCACCACCCTTGTCCCCAGACTCACTGTGTCTCCTTGGAGAAGTTTCTTGGAGAAGCATTGAGCTTAAAACCATCAGCACAGATTTGGGCAGACCCCCATCTATGGGGAGTTGGTCGATTTTCATTACCACTGGTGGTGTTTCAGCCCTGAACCCTGTGCTGAAGGACCCAAGGTGGCTCCCACCACAGTCCACAGCATCACCCATCCTGCTGCAGATGATCAGGGGGAGTCACAAATCTGTGATTTTCATCCCCTTTGGGCTGTGACTCATCTCCTCACAGCTCCCAGATCCTAAAGTCTCATTTAGCATCACCAAAGTGGTGGTGGGGTGTGAGACAATGTGTCTTTGGTGTTGGCTGCTGGAGGAGGACCCCTCCTTGCCCATGGTTTTGGGTCAGGGGATGTGTTTGGGTTGTCACCTTGCTAGAGGCAATCCCCAAAGGGGAAGGTCCTTCTGAAGATCACCTTCTTTGGGGATGTCTTTGGGATGGGTCACACTTATGATGCTGAGTGGGCTGCAGGACTCCTCTCCTGTGTCCTGGTATGTTATACTGGGCTTGAGGAGAAAACAAAAAAAAAGGGAAGAAACAAAAGAAAAAAGAATAAAATCAGAAGAAAAACTTAATGGTGAGCTTCACACCCATGTCACGGCCAGGGATGATATATCTCCAAGTAGTTATCATCTCTGCCACTGGCCTTGGTACCAGCCTGCCCTTAGAGCTGTAAAACAAAGCCCAGGAGCCAGCCCTGTTTTTGGAGGATGCTCCTCAGTGCACACTACCTGCGCCCTTTCCCAGCCGCTGAGCTCGGGTCTGGCTTTGCAGGCTGCATGCTGCAGGGATGCGGAGAGCATCGTTTCAGAGAGGTTTTCACACGAGCCCGTCAGTGAAGTTTTGTTGGCTGCCTCGGTTGCCAGTTGGATTATCTCCTGCCAAACCCTTTTGCCAGGGAATTTCGGTTTGTGGCATCAAAGTTGGTTTTTGGAGTTTGGTTTTTTTTTTTTTTTTAAATAAAAAAAACCCAACCAAAACCACAACCAACAAAACAACAATTCGGCAAATACAAAATTGAGTAGTAAATTAAAAAAGAAAAAAAAAAGTGATATTTGCTGCTGTGATACAGGTAAGGGGCTGCTCAGCAGGAGAGAGGAGCAGGAGCAATGGCCTGATGTGGGCATGGGGAGAAGTGTGGGACCGTGCAGGGTGGGGGGCTTGCACCTCCTCACGCCCCCGTCCCCCTGCCTGCGTCGGGGGGGTGCTGGGAAAATGACAGGTCTGCAAATGAGATGGGGAAGGAAATGGCGGGCGGTGGTAGAGGTGGGGAAGAGCCAGCCAGAGAGAGAGAAATTAGCCCGGAGTTTAATTCATTGTTTCCAAAAGAGCAGTTAATGGATTATGACAAATGTCCTACTGCTCTCCCTTAGTGCTGTGTTAAATGGAAATGGAAAGTCAATTTTCCTAAATGGATTTTAAACGACTGACCTCGTGTGTTGTTTTTTTTTTTTTTCCCCTCACTGATTTTTGCTTGGGAGGCAGCTTGGTCATCTTGTTTTCTTGACACATCTGATTATTTTTTTTTCTTCTTCTCCTCCCATCTCGGCAT